GGCGTGCTTGGGGAGAGGCGGGGATTTGGGGAGGGAGCATCATAGTTAAATGCAAGATGGAACAGATTGTTTAGCATAAGTAGTTAGTTCATATTCTAAGGGACCATTCAAGGTGAAATAGCCTGTTAACCCTCTGCAGTTACAGGACATAAGGGGCGGAGGGGTTAGTGGGTTACAGATTGTTGAAAATAAGTCATAAATACTGTGTTTCTGTTCAGTCCATGATTTTTAGTGTCTAGCAGAGTTATGAATTTAAGCTCCCGGGCTCATGTTTTGAAAGTGTTGGTCAGGTTTCCTTTGGGGATGAGGACTGATAGGTCAGATACAGTGAACACTTTCTGAAAAGTGTTCACCACAGCTGATAGTGTGTTTTTGTCTTGTATAATTTTCCTGTGTGAGTTCATTCAAGAGTGCAGTGATTGTCTGGTTTCACCCACTTAGTTAGTGGGGCATTTAGTGCACTGGATGAAGTATACCACATTGTGATAGGCATATGTAAGACTCATGGATCTTGACAGCTGTGTTGTGGGGGTGTTGATCATTGTAGCAGTGGAGATATGTCTGCAGGTTTTGCATCGATTGTTCTGGTCAGGTGCCACTGGAGAGGTTGGGGGGTTGTTTGAAGGCCTAAAGTGAGTTATAGTTGTTTGATGATCCCCTGATTGGCTGCTCCCTGCAGGTCCTCTGATTGGCTGCTTCCCCCGCAGCCATTCTAGGCCGCTTGGAGAATCTCTCTTCTGCTCCTCTCTGTGACGGAGTGTGGCAGGACCCTGAGGCCTCCAACAGGTAGCTTCTGAGCCTAGTCAACTCCATCATAGTATCTCATAAGAGTTGTAGTTTGGGTGCTTTATGTTCCAGTTCTTCTCTCCAAGCCAGGCGCCCCTGATGGACTACATCTCTCATGATGTACCATGGCCAGGGTCTTCCATGCTATACCACCTCCCCTCTCCAAGAAGGGAAGCCATGATCAGAGATGTAGTACAACCAGGAACCCCAGCCCACAGAGGAGAACTGGAACATAAAGCACCCAACTGGCAACTCCCATGATGCACCAAGATGGCATTTCCATTTTCATATTAAATTTTTCAGTATTCAAAATTCCACTAGAAAAAAAAATTGAAGTTTTATCTTGGGAAAAACAAAACAAAAAAAACAAAACAAAAACACATTTTTGACCAGATCTGCTTCCCTCCCATTTAGCAACATATGGACAAAGTGATCAAGACCCTCAAGTTGAGAACCCCGATTTAAAACAACACAGGGATAACATCCCAAAACTAAAACTTTTTTCTGATTAAAAAAATTACATTTTTTGGCAAATTGAGCAGTCTGCTGAGCTTTCTGAAGTGCAAGCAGCAGAAATTGTGTTTTTAAACATTATTGATACATTCAAGAACATTTGTATCAGTTCCTTATTAAAAGATAGCGGATCTCCAAAATATTATTTTTTAATACACAGTATTTGCATGGGGATGGGGTCAAAGTTAAAGAGTGTGTCCAAACTGGGTAGTTTTTAAAAAACGTATTTCCTATCTGGGAGTTTGTTTTCTCTACCTCTTTCAACATAGTTAACAAGCTAAAAATGTGAAACTGACTGACTGACTATACTGGAGAACGGACCATACACAGTAAACAATTATAATAATAGAGATTATCTTCTTCTTGAAACTCCTTCAGTAACAGTAATTTTAATAAATAAATAAATCCACAGCCCATGCTCAATACATGATTTTCAAAAACTCATAAAACTCACTCAAACCCAATTTCCTCTGGAACAAAGCCATTTTGTGAGTTTTGTTCCAATGTTCAGCTACCTTCTAGTTTGCTCACAGGGCCAGGTAAGAATGTTTCCACAATAGAAAAGTGTGGGTTTTTTCATCTCCTCACATTCAAGAATGGCTGAACGGTTTTTGCTCAAACTCTTTTTTAAAGGTAACTTTTGGCAGAGGCTAAACTGGAAAATTTCAGCTGCAAAGCTGAAAGTTGCAGTAAATTCTGAGTGAGGAAGCAAGAGAGTTGAATGAAAACTATCTCATAGCCTTAGCTAGAGGAGCTAGTTCTGCTATAATCGCTTAATGTTTATTTCTGTGAATTGCAATTATTGGGAGGAGATTAAAGCCCTCATTTCAGGGCAACCCATCTCCATCATTATGGCCTACATGCTTTCCTAGATTTACATGAGCAGAACTAGAAAGAGGTGCAGGAGAGGACCGTGTTAGGGATATGATGCTTTCTGGAATAGTTGCTGGTTGGACCTACCCCATAAGAAGTTAATATTGCTTCATGGCCTATTCCCGCTGGTGGAGATTCCTCTATAGCTGCTGGAAACCCCACCAGGATTCTGCCAAAGTCAACATGGCTCCTGCTGGAGGAGAATACAGGATGGCCAGCCCTCCACTCAGCTGCCTCTGTGTACCTGCCATGTGGCTATCGATACTGAGAGGTCAGAAGGCCAACAAACTCTCCCTGCTTGGGCACAATTTCACCGGATTCCTGTGCACTCCTTCCACAGGGTTCTGCTACAGGAGTGAATGCTGCAGCTCAGTGGCCATCCTCAGGATGGATTGGCAGATGGACACCCGCCAAGACCTCCCACAACATATCTCGACCCAGTTGGTTCTCTCTCACTTTGTCCATCTTTTCTCACCTCCTCTCCTTTACTCTTTGCTCTGCAATTCTTTGCCTTTTTTTTCTCTTTTACGTGTCTCTCCTCTTCCCCTCCCCTGCTCCCCACGTCCTCCCTGCTAATTCTGATCCCCCTCCCCATACTCCCACTCACCAAAAGTCTACACTGCTTTAGTGTTCCGGGGGAGGGAGGCTCCCAACAGTGCAACACAAGGCTGAACCAAGTGCCACAGGAGCAAGGCAACGAAGCTTGGGGCTACTCCTACTGCCATCCACCTGAGCATGCAGAGACAATGGAAATAGGAAGGGAGGGTGCAACAAAACATTTACAGTGTGGTTCCTAAGTTTTTTTACTCACACTTTCATGCTTCCCACCAACTAGTCTGATACACCAAAGGAGCCTCCGCCCTCATGCTAGGAAACATTGCTCTACCTGGAAGAAAAGCAGCAAGTGATTAATTTAAAGAGTATTTTGTTCAGACAGAGATCCTGGAGTAGGAAGGAATCCCTAATGAACCTTTCAATCAAAACCTCAGCTAAGGAAGCTTGGCTACTTGAGAATGCAGTCATCCAGGGCAGAGACTCATAATTCCATCTACAGCTGTATGACTTCTAACATTACACTGCTAAAACAAAAACAAAAAACCACAATTCCCGTAGCAGCAGCAAGCTTGTTCAGATCATTGCACAAGAGAAGATGTTCAATGGGCAGTTGGGGTATACGTCTGGGAAATGCACAGAGCTTAAATTTTACATTACTTAACCCTGACAGGTGAGTGGGATCAAAAGTGTACTGTAAAAATCCATGTGAGAGTGAAAAAAAAAAAAAACTGTTCTGACAGTGAACTATCTGAATTTACCAGCAACCTTTGCACACCACGAAAACATGTTTATTTCCTCTTGTTATCTTAAAGGGATACAATCATCAAAAAAACACACTTTGTTCTAGAACTTGTAGCGAGACAAGGTTAAAGCAAGTTGAACTGTAAATCAGAGGCTGAGGGACAGATTTTCAAAAGAGCTCAGCTCCCAGCAGTTCCTGGACGAATACTGGGAGTATTTGAAAGTCTGGCCACTTTGTTTTGGTGCCCAAACAGGAGCCAGGGCCCTCACTGAGCAAAGTACTGAAGCACCTAGCTAACTTTATGCACACAAACAGGGCAATGGGACTGACAACTCCTGTACTTAAAGTCAGGCACATGCTTACTTTGCTGAACTGAGGCCTCAGCTCTTTGGAAAGTCTTGCCCCAATCATGGTTGATAAGCACTTATGAAAATCTGCCCCTCAATGGGCCAGGATCCTCAGTCAATGTAGCTACTACACCAAGTTAGACCACCTGAGGAGTTCTTCCCTATTCTCTATATTTTCAGTCTGTTTACTTTGAGCGTTTGGTGGCATTCTGTATATAGTCAGTCTCACTTTGCCCTTGTGAAGTCATTTAGGGCCTGACCCAAAGCCCACTGAAATCACTAAGTGTCTTTCCACTCACTTCAATGGGCTTTGTATCAGACCCTTACTCACTTCTCTCTCCTGTTTGCATGGGAATTTCACACAGTAACAAGGGAGAGAAAACCTTTTTTTAAAAGCTAGTTGTAAAACCACAAAAATAGCAAAACTCCAGGGCTAATGTAGCACCTGACACTACTTTCCACTTGGTTATTTTTAAACGTACTCGGTTCCAAATTGACTGTGTAACGTACCACTTTTTCCATTTCTGCCCCCAGTGAACACCTCTGAGTGATTAATCTTGCAATACTAAAGGCGATCTAAAAGAGGAGGAAAGTATGTGTCATTTCTAGCTAGTGATGTATAAAGGTGGTCAGAAAGGTGTTTAACGTGTTTTTCTTTGCTTGTTTTTTATATTAGATATTCAGATCTTCTCTACCCTGGTTAAAACTGTTGTGAACACAACTCAGCAAACCAGGGAAAACCTTGACATTCCTTAATATTAAAACCTCTTTAAAGTAAAAGCACAACAAGAACCTTTCAGATCTTTTTCGTGCAAGAAACAAGAAGGGAACAAAACCAAATGTTCTTTTATTTGCTTTTACTTTGCAGGTCACCTTTAAAATTCTATTTTGTTTCTCCCTGTGGTGCATTATGGTATAACATGCTAAATAAGGCCCTGAACCTGAGAAGTTTTATGCAGGTACTTAACTTTATACACTGCAAGCTGTTCCACTGACTTCATTGGAACTACTTGATTGAAGTGCAGAAAGTTAAGCTCTTGAGTAACCTTTTGTAAAATCGGAACCATAAGCCAGGACCCTACAGCAAGGTCTAAGAAGGTGCAGAGTTCTGCCCATGTGACGCTCATTTCAGGACTGGGGCCTTTGTAATTTTACGCACATTACTCACAAGAGTAGCCTCAGCAGAACCACCCATAAGGAACTTCACTCATTTACATAAGTATTTGCAGGATCAGGGCCTAAAGTAAGGAACTCAAAGCATGCAACATGTTGAATGAACTGTGCATGTCCTTTTAATAACTAAACAGCCTGAGGAAGCTTAGTCTCATGACATATTTTATAAGATTAGAAATGCAACCCTACAAAGGGTATTCTGGAAGGAAGAAAGGAAAGAAAGAACAGCCTGTAATCAGCTACACAAAAAGCTCTCAGACTATTTTCAGCAGCATTGTCATGTGCGTGGGTTTAGAAAGCTGCCCATTAGATTCAATTCCAGGCCATCAGTGGCTGATATTTTTTTTTTAAGGATTTCATGGGTCTTGCAACCCCTACTTCAGAACCCATGTTCCCGTATATGTTGTATATACAGTAACTGAGATTTAAAATAATTGGATCTTTAACATTTAATTGCTTTTTAAACATACACATACATACTTTGGGCCTTTGGAATGTAATACAGGATTACAAAATGGAGCTCTTGTGCTCTCTTATCCTAAACCTGAGAAACCTTCCCAAAACTTTTGTCAAAACCAATACACTTCCTCAAAAAGTTTTGGTTTTGACAAATCAGTTTTTTCCAACCAGTTCTATTCAAAACATTATGTAACAGAAGTTGGCTTTAACTCATCTCTCTGAGTATTACCTCATTAGCAAGGTCCATCCAAACTTAATTTGCCCCAGGAAAACCTGGTATTCTCTCTATTCGCCACTGCAAGTTATGGACAATGAGAATGCAGAACATGTAAACCAAGATTATACAAATTGATATTAGTGAATTCCACATCATATCAAGCTCCCTCCTTTGCTCTTCTGCCTACATTTTAGATTTTTGACTCATTTTCTCCTTCTTTTCAGTAAGTTAGAATACTAGAAAACAAAAAACAACACAGAAAAGGAAATACATTGGGGCTGTGATGCCAGACTGAGATTTCTACAATGTAAATTCCACATGGAGTCTGATCCATAGATCTAACAGCTGTAGGCTGGGCAAGCCGATCAATTGACCAGTACAATAATGTCAACTGACCACCTATTATCTGACCATGGTCAAATATTGTCAAATATTCCAGCAAGAATGCTCTGATGTAGGCGGTGGCCTATCTGTTCGATTGCATCATGATGCCATTTGTAAGCAAGCCTACTTAAAAGCTTTGATCACTCACATTATTACATGCTAATGCCACCTGTTAGGAAAAAGGTAAACTAATTGAAAGCTGAACGTCTTGATTGGCTAGAATTTTCTAGAACATTATATATATGCATATATATCTTAATTTGTATACCTGGCTATCAACGTACATGGCAGTTTACAAAACACATTAAAAAAAAGTTAAAAGGCACAGTCCATGCCCTGAACAGCTTATCTAAACTGACTAGACAAACATACAGAAATTAACTCAGAAGAGAATCGGGGAGGAAGAGGAGGGTTCACAATCATTAAACCTCCTCCCTCCTCCCACAACACAGCCATTAAGCCGCTTGAAGAGTTGGTCTGCTCACTACCTAGCATACGTGCATTTAAAAAAATCTTTTATTTTACAGTTTTGTTTTATTTCTAATTTCATTTTTCTTTTCTTTTGTAACTGGTCAGGCCTGAAAAACAGGCACATTTAAAGGGTAACATAACATTGCTCAAAAAATAATTATTATTCTTTCATTGTTTAAAACTTTGTTTCATTGTGTTTTGCATTAACTCAGTTAAGTAACTCGTTTTTTGTAATTAGGCATAACTACCTACCTAAGGCTAAGCCTACCGGAGACCATAAATTCTTACTCTTTTTTATTTGAGAATAAGCTTTTGGCCTTGTCAACACTGGTTCTCCATTTGTAAGGTAACTCCATTCTCTTCATGTGCAAATATATTTATGCCTGTATCTGTAATTTTCAATCCATTCATCTGAAGAAGTGCGATTTTTTACCCACGAAAGCGTATGCCCAAATAAAACTGTTAGTCTTTAAGGTGCCACTGGACTCCTCGTTGTTCTTGTGGATACAGACTAACACAGGTACCCCTCTGATACTTACTCTTTTTTGTTACTGGTGTAACAATAAATTAGTAATCAGTTAATTAGTGCTTTAAAACATTTGGCCATTTTAGACATTATTTGACCAATATCTAACCGATTATTTTTGGACTGATCAAATGTCCAACAGCTGTACTTTCTGCTGCCAAGTGGGGACTCAAGGGTGTTTTTTTGGTTTGACCATTACAGACAAGATGGCAGGGTTTGCAAACAGCGGAAGACTCCTCTTACCACATCTGTGTCCTGTCAGCTTAGAGTACTCCCAGTGGGAGTGGGAGGTAGGAAAGAGCAACTTAAAATAAAAGTTAATAGAAAAAGGGGGGAAGAGAAGGAGAGATGTTATGGAGGCTTTTCGCAATGCTCCTGGGTAAAATAATCCAAGATCTCAGGTGAAACCCACCCCTCCAAAGAACTCAGACTAAGAAAAAATAATGAAGAATACAACCATTCTTCAGACAGCCAGTGAGCTCATGCAAGAGGGATGGCCCTGAGACTGGAATGCTGCTACAGTGCTGCAATGCTGAAGCTATTAACTCCTCGGAGATGGCAGGGCTGGAGCTCTAATGCATTCACAAGCCATGCTGGGAAATCCCAGCTAGTAGCATCAAGGGATTAAGAGCACATGAAGAAGATTTCCTGCTTGTGGCTCTATTCACAGAAGACTTTATGCCCGCCCCCCCTCCCCCCCCAGTAAGTGCTCCTTTATGTGATCTAAACTGGGTGGGGGACGATGGAGGAGCGAAGAAACACATGCATATAGATTAGATTCCTTTTAGTCTGCATGCAACGTACATTAATTAGCCAAACCAAAGAGGCAGATACTTGCCTGGTGGTACAAGCTGGAAAATGGGTGAAGAGGTTTGAGCAACATTTTACAGCACGTACGACATTCCACATCTGGTTCCCCCCACAACCACTTGCTTGAACTTCCCTTCATATGTGACTGGAAAGCGAACTAAGTATAGTGTATAGTATAACATAGCATAGCATATGCTGTTGTAA